ATTACAACCTTTTATCCTTTTGGTGACATGTAATAGCTTAGCTCAAATTAACGCTAAAACCACTTTTTACTTAGTTTGGAAATTTTTATTCCTAGACTAAGCATAAAACAATGGAGGTGTTGTCTTTTTTTTTTTTTTCCCCAAACACCTGAGTTTCTTTCAGATGTTTAATGAAAAAAATGCATACATTCATAGGTCAGGGTTAAAATATAATGCTTCACACATGAGGGCACAAAGAGAGACAGTTTGTTCATTTGAAAGCCCACAAGCTCAACTTAAAATACAGCTGTCAATCTAGAGCACCTTGTTTCATATTACATGAACATTCCCTTCTTTCTCAATATGTATGCAAACTTCTACGGGTACATACAATGGTAAAGTATCTCTAACTGAGATATTCAAAAATATTTAAATTTTTTCTGTGTTACAAACCAATCTTACAGGAAGTTAATTCAATATTAAAATGACAAGTGTGAATGCACAGAGGAAATGCAAACAGCTTATAAACTCTTACTGTTAACATCAGTTAGAGCCACAACTAATTCAGAGGAACACCTAGAATGGATCTTTGTATTTAAATAGCTGTATACTCTTTAAAACTCCAAAGAGATGATGCCCCTTTCCACCTTCAGAAAGGCTGCGAAGTCTTGTTAAAAAGATCGGTGTGCACCACCTAGGAAACTGAAACCCAGTAAAAGCAACACTTCTTTACTTGTATTGCCAACTAGCGTGGCAAACTAACTGATACAGACTGAGACAGAGTAAACTCTGCCAGGAGATTTCCTGTACCCACAGAAGGAAATAAGTGAAGTCAGTAATTTCTCTGTGGTTTGTGAAGGCAGCATCCAATGCCAGGCTTCCCTCTGGGGCATCCAGGCGAAGAAGTAGACAAAGATATGACAGTGGAGTCCTTCCATGGCTGATGAGGGAGGAAATGCTTACTTAGATGGGAGTAAGAAAGAAGAAACTCCCTCTCTCTTGAATATCTGACTAAGAGCGGATGCCCTTCTTGCAGGCAGTTTCTGGAGGAAGATGCTTAAAGATTCGCCCATTTGCACTCTGCTTTCAGTGTGGCACAAGAGCTTCTTGTGAAGTATGCACGGAAATTCGTTAGAGGGGACATCCAATTGGTGTTTGATTTCCATTTGTGGGGAAGGATAGTCAAAAAAGAGCAAGTATTGGAAACATTAAGCATTCATTGTATCGCTAAGTAGCAAATGTTATGATTAATATTTGACTTAGAGATCCCTCCCTGGGCACCAAGTATATCATTAATAAGAATGCTTCAGGATTATTATAGGGATAAAACCACTCCCAAAAGCCTAAACTGGGTACAAACTTAACTTGAACTGAAAGGTCCATATTTGCCACATTAAAATACACTTTCTCAAAATATATAAAGGAAAATAGTACAGAACAGCTGTTTTTATAAAAGTATGTAGGCTGCCCACTAATACTGTAATGTTAAGTGGGGCCAAATATACACTTAACAATCCCTGACTCGCAAAAAATTCTTCCGTCTCCCAAGCTAACCATTGATAGACATATCAGGCTGAAAAAATACAGAATGAACACATCACACTTTATAAGTCTAATAAAGTTCAAATAGGTAAGGACGTGAAGAAGTTATTTTTATTGAAACTCTCCAAAAGTATTAAGAAGGATCAAATGGTATATTTTCATGCCAAATAAATTCTCACTGAATTAACTGGATTCTAATTCACATAAAAGAGCAAACAAAATTTAAATCAGGTTTTGCTGCAACTGAATAGAATTCTTCTCTTAACCTCTCCCTTAATTTATCAGTAAATATCAATTTTGACATGGCAAAAGTATAAGCAGAAGACATCAAAAATAGGTGTGTTTTCCTCAACATAAAAATGGCAGCAAAAATGAGTTCAAATGGCTTACATATTTTGAAAATAGACAATGTGAAATCCATTCCTTCACAAACAGTGGTTTGGATATGAATGCCTCAAAGTACTTATTTAAAAATCTGTGCTGCAGAAAACTCATTAAAGATAATCCATGCTAGAGGCACATACAGTTCTAGAAACATCTAGAGAATTACTTAAATCTTTCTAGTGAAAATAAGTTTGAAATACCAAATAATTTACCAGAAATTTTGAAAGCCTGGCTCTGGGAGGGCCAAAAATAAGGTTATTGCTACTTACAGAATTCAAAACACCGTTGCTCCAAATCAAATGCAGCTAGGAAAGATGTAACAGCATTTGCACTTTGTTGTTGTTAATTTCAAGTATGAAAACTCTACCAAGTAGTAAGTAGCTTCAAAAGGGAACTTTGACTGAAAGGTGAAAAATATTTAAGATATCTCTTCTTTAATATTTCAGTTATTTGCACTTGACCAAGAGATCAACATGATCTTCTGTTTGTTGCCACAGATTTGTCTGGGATGAGAATTATGGCAGTAGGCTTTTGCATTTAAATACTGCAGACACAGTGATGTTATGAAAGTGACCAAGTATCCAAAAGGAAGGAAAAAACTATTGTAAAAAGAGCAGGCTTGCACTGAAGCAAGTATGTGATAAATTAAACCTAGAAAAACAAAGCAGTGAAATTTGTCTCCTTGTGAATGCTGAGTTTTGCACAATCCAAGTCCCTCAAAGTACAGTAGCACCCATGTTTTGCTTAAGCCAGAAATCTGAGCGTTCAACTGACAAGACTTACTTCTCAAATAACAACAAAAGAAAAACTGTTAAAGATGCTGATGTTACAAAGTTAAGATACACTCAAAAGTTAGCAAATGCTCACACAACTTTAATTTGTCCCACTTGTGTGGGTTAAAACACGCCTTTCAGCAATCACTGACAGACTTCAAGTCTGTTCAACCTCGAGAAAGAACTCAAAATGGAAAATACTCAGTATTTCCCCTCTCCTGCAGCCATCACTGAATGCGTGTGACAGCACCCTATTTACTGCACGCTACCCAAAACTGAAACTGAGCAGAATTAATTTTTTGTCCTGGTGAAGTCTTTCCCAGTTTTCACCATGCTGCAGTTCACCAACCCATAGTTTTATAGTGCAGCTAAGCCTAATTAACTGTGGTTAGCTGCTGCCGAAAGGACCAACCTCCTCCCTCCCGCCATCCATCTTAACCTCAAAGAGCTGCCCAGGCAGATAAACCAGCAGAAAACATCTTGAACCAGGTCAGCACAGAGCAGAGGAGAACAAATGCTGACACAAAGGAGGCGGCAACAGGAACCGCAGTAGGAGTATTGCCAACCCCTTCATTAGTAAGCAGCCATTACAACTGCTTCACTTTATTGAAAACTAAACCATTAAAAAGTATTTCTACAGTTATCTGAGATATTAAGCGCCACTTTATTTCTTTCTGGAGGAAAAGAACTCATGTATAAGGAAGCTGAAGGCTAGAACTGTCACATGGCCATTCACTGCTAAAACACTCCATAAGTGATTGTACAATGTATATACTGTTTTCACAGCAGTTCATATGCACATAAAACTCCCCTCAATTTCAGCTGCACCTGCTAAACTCTGCAAATCAGTCAGAACATGGCTAACTCCATCAGCAATGAAACTCTTCCATTTGTAGATTAGCTAACAATCCTGCAATAGCGTAAAACTGTCAACAGCTCTCTAAATGCGATCACCTCCTCTTACAATTGTATCTCATTTTCCAAGCTTCCAAGATCTGCAACAAGCGAGGCATCCTTTTTATACTAAATCTCACTCAATCACAAGGCAATGCTCATGCTGTACAGCAAAAGAGACAAGGGGAGGTCACATAAAAAAACATGTTAATAAATTCTCCAAAAATATGAATACTGCGATGCAACCAAACCAAGGTTGCATAGGCAGTGAATTCCTGAACGCTTGACTTTAACATTAGCTTTCTTTCAGCTGGAAAGACCTGCATATTCGCTTGCATCTTGTAGAAGCAAAGAAGTTAGAAGCATTCTGATCCCTTGAAGAATCATTAGGAGGACTGCAGTTTTTGGACTCACAGCATTGACCTTTGCCCCTTCAGCTGATCAGTGACAGTCGCAGGAACAGGCAGTAATCCATAGGTCAGCCAACAGAGGGAAACAAACAGCTACAAAACCAGAGAAGTGTATGGAAGCAGGCATCTTTGGGCTCAAGCCAGGTTTCAGAGGAAAGTACACTTGGAGTTTGAAATCTTTCTCTCCTAGTGTCTCCTCCTACTATATACACTTATCTTATCTCTCCGTTACCCCGCCCAGTCTCTGCTCCTCTGCACTATTTGTTACCCATCTGCATTTAAGTGAGATTGCTTCTTTTCTCCAAAATATGGAAGTCACTTTCCTTTTGAACTTCTAGAAAATTAGCAGTAACATTAAGATTCATATCTGCTACCCCTTTTTCGCAAGCAATATTTTAAATAACGGGTAAAAAATAGTGTGTATAGAGCATTTTGTATATGCCAGGGGCTCAAGGGAGAGAAAGTAAAATACAGCAAAATAGTCTATATTCAACACAATGCCATGCCACTATTTAAGCTTCAGAACTCTGATTGCTGGACTCTGTAAATGAAAGACTCCAAACACAATGTAAACATCTGTGCTGGACAGTAGGACACAAAACACATTCAAATAATATGTGGTATTGCTATTTTAAGCTATAAGATATCTGCCTTCTACATTGCCGTTCTAAAAAGAGAAAGCTATCCCTGGAGTTTGGTACAGGCTGTTCAGTATTTTGTGCAGTCGACACACCTGCTTGATATTTTTTAATATTCTCTTCCAGCATATAGAATGCGTGTTGCTATATAAAACTGAAACAAAAGATAGTTTTTGCAAGTTAAAAACTAGTGTATAATTACCCAGTTTAATACACATCCTAAAATCCTTGTTGCATGGCTCTAATCAAAAACTTGTACACATGGCTATGAATATACCATGTCCATGGATCAAAGTACTTTCCTGGAAATATTTTAGGAAATAGGGAAAAAATGCCTGAATATGGGAGAGTGAAACAAAAAAAATCTGAGAAACAGAGCATATGCTTGCTAAACAAGAATTATGTTTATTTAGCTAGTGAATCACCTAGAGGAGTAAATTTTCACTTCCATGATAGCAATCTTGTCAGGCTTGCAAACACCCAGAAATAGGAATTAAAGATTATTTTAAATGTAGTTATAAAGGTCATAAAAAGTCTGATTTAGACTGAGGTACATTTACTCAAAACTGAGATTCATTGAGTGGTAGCAAACAAACAGTTCCTCAGACAAATGCACTTTTTTCAGTATACATGTTACAGAAAAAAAATAAAGAAATGTGCATTAACTGGTGGTGTCCACCAAGCTGCATATTAATATTCTCTTACACCAAACAGTTTGAAACAAGGGAAATGTCATTCTAATATAATTTCATGTTACGTTTCATTTGGCTAAACTGCAGCTTAAAGTTGCTTTGCCATATTAAAAGATTACTACAATAATTTTCACATGAACATTTAGACTTGAGTTTTACTCCAGGACTAAATATGGCATGATTTGCTTTTAATCTGTTGAATAGCTAAAAACTGACAATTAAAAAAAAACTACAACGAAGAAAAAAATAAATTGAAGCAATGTGAATCTCACATCATTGAACCACTTCTAATGGTTAATTGTTAGTATTTAACAAATTCAAAGAGTTAATGAATCCTTGCATTCGTTCGGTCTCCTGTGCCTTAGCTAGGATGCATAAATACAAAAGACAGCAGATACTGGTAAAAGCTTCAGGACAGAAAGTGCTTGACGAAGGTACAGTTCTCAAGTGTGTTTGGTGAGAGAGTATAAGGGCAGATGCACTGATGAGAACCATTACAAGAGGAGTCAATTTTGTGTTAAAGTGTTCAAAGATGTCACCTTAAGCAGAAAAAAGCTTTAATAACGTCTTCTTAGACATATTAGGCATTTCCAGAGTCTACATCATTAGTGTTGTAATTCTAGCAGGACATCTCCATATAGTTATTGTTTGTTTCTATTTCTCTCCTGGAAAAAAGAAAACAAAAACAAAAAGGGAGATCATGTTAATACATATAGTTCAATATTATCTTCTTTCCCTCAGAGCAGTAACATTGCTTGCAATTAGGCATGCCTTTCTCTAAAGCAAGCAGCAAACTTTCAGGGAAACAGCTTCAGTGTTCTTTTTCAGGAATGTGAAATATTCAGCTGAGCTCAAGCCAACTTTTTAAAAATAATATATAACCAAGAAACACAGAAGTATAGGTATTAATGGTACAGGCATTCAAATAGCATATAGAGGTAAAGGTATTAAAAGGTAAATACGTTCAAATGACAACCAGTTATCAAAAGAAAGTTTTCTGCCATTACTTTTAAATTGCTTCCAAGAAAATACATCGCACAACATAAAGTGAACTGAGTAAGGAGACCAAGGAACCTACAAAGATCAAGGTATCTAAAACTTCTGATTAACTTGTCAACTAAAAAAAAGGAAAAAAAGAAAATCTACATAAATTTAAACACTTTAATTGTTCAGTGTCTAACGTCTACAGAATAAAGAACACATTCCCGGTATCTTGCTCAAAACCAACCAAACGTTTTAGTGTTTTAGTGTGATTAAAAGGTGGAGGAGCAAGATGGGCCAGCATCTCCTTCATACAAATATACCTTGCAAACGGCAGGCAAAAACTACAGAAAAACAGCCAGTCATCCACACTTTTTTAAGAAACTATTTTTACAAAGAAAATGCAAAAACAGTGATGCAGGAATGGTGGGGCAGGGGAGGGCAAAACAAACAAACAAAACCCATGTCTGAGTGCAAGCCTGAATTGCAGTCAAGCTCATATTCACTACAAAGCTTCTACAGCACTGGGAAACCTAGCATGTAACGTGAAGGAACAAAACGCACAAACTTCCTCTGTGCAATACAAAAACAGATAAACATATTTGTACATGAACTAAAGAACAGAACAAAAAGTTAAAATGGAAAAATATTCCTAAAAGTTTAGGGGCCGAATTACTAAATGCACTGCATCTCTCCTACAGACTAACAAACTCTTCCTCTGTATTACAAGACTAATAGAGAAATAGCTTTTCCAGTGCTTTAACAGTGCTTTTCCAATGCTGTATTCTCTGCTTCGTTACAGATAAACATAAGGCTACACATTAAGACTACCTCTAGGAGGAAAAACCAAAAAACAAAGAGCAATACGCTGTCTCTTCTCATCTTCATTATATATCTTCTAATTAGATTGTAAGACAACACTGTGGTCTGATTCTACGAAATGAAGAAACTCTTTGATAATTTCCTTTCTAAAAATATGTACAGCTATTGTATAAATCCATTAAAATACCTTCTTGGAAGAGGTACGTTCCCTTCCTCATTTAAAAGAAAACAAAACTTACTTCCAATACTTCTTATTACTACATTACACCGTATGTTATAAATGGAACATAAGCATAGCAGAGGAAACCAAAATAAACCAGGAGGCATTTGAGGAATGATTCCAAAACCCCTCTATCTGATATCTTTCTGAAACTTTAGCGCGCTAGAAATTTCTCAGAAAAGTTACAAATTAGCATATGATCCCAAACAAATTATGCCAAAAAGACACTACAATGAAAGAATAGGGTAGATAACATTTATATTAGAGTACAACTAATAAGTCTTGACTCCAGGACACACCTTTGAGTTGCTTCAAGACTAACACCAAAAAAGTAAGGCTTGCACAGAGTTCTTGTCCACTATAACACTCTCACTGTCCTGGAAGCTGTACAACCATGTACTGCACATTCCCTAGGGCAGAACTTTAACATGTTCAGAGTGAGAGCAATACTTTCCACTACTCTACTGTAAATTAATATTTCCTAGTGCAAAGATACGTAACCAATACTTTCCTAGTAAAATATGCTTTTAAAATGTTTTAAAAATGTGAAACTGATACTATTAGTCATTAATACAAACTGATACATTAATAGCGCACCTCTAAGCTGAGAACACATGATCACTGGCCTCATGCCTCACTATGCATGTAAGGCATGCAAAAATAGCCTGCTGGGGCACATCTTAGATTATTGCTGTCTATTAGCAGAGTTCAGCTGAAAGAACTGCATAAAGTACTGAAGCACATTATCGCAGTATTAAGTGGAAGCCTATGAAACTGCTACCTTAAATAATGAAATATCATATTTTAACCATTTTAAAATACTATATATTAGAAATATCACTGGTTCCTGTCTATTTGCCAACTTTACTCAGGTAACTACATAGAGAAACTATCTGCAAAGTGTCTCTGCATCGCACACTATAGCACAGTAAACAGCAACCAACGCTGTTTTGTGTAGTCCCCAACTCAAAATGCATTTAAGTTCATAAAAATTCAAAGTAAAAAGGAAATGATATCCTGACCAACTGTTTCCAGTGGATGAAATAAAGGAGGTTTTAAAACTTCAAGTCCATTTTGAATTCTAGAAGGGAAAAGGCAAAAAGGGAGGGGGAGGAACAAAAGATCCCTTTCCTGCCTTTTCAAAGCTGTGCATAATTACACACACACTAAAATACTTAAATCAGACGTAAAAGTGACATCTTTCAACAGAAGCAAATAATATGTTCTTCAGATATACTGGTATCAGTGGCATTCACCATTCTGTACAGCAAGATGGACAGAGACAAAACAATTTCCTCAAAACACAGGAAGTAATATTACGCTCAAAAAACAAACAAACAAAAATTACCCACCCGCCCCACCTCAGACCTCACTCACTACCACTGTCTTTTCCTGTCTAAGAAGGGGAATACATACACAGCACTTTGGTCCTGAGACAGAACAGAACACGTTTGGGCCAGGCTCCTTCCCACCATCAGGGCACAGGGCAGTTCCAGGGTACTGTCTGGGTTCTACCACATTTCCCTTTCGCTCAACATCTCTTTATTTACTTCTTACATTCAGATGAGCAAGAACTTTGCCAAATGTCTTCCAACATCCTAGGATAAAGAGTGCCTTCAGTCAATTCAAGTACTCTGCCAAAGGCCAGTGCGGCCTGCTTCACTTCCGAAATCGCCATGAACAGTGAGGTTTCCCAGGTTCAGGGGGAGTTTATGACAAGAATACAGAAAGTAATTAGCATTTGACTTGCAACTATGTAGGAATGCAACAGCTAGTTAACAGTAACTGCTAACTATATACCATGTGGCAAGCAGGTTTAACACATGCCATCCACTTTCTACTCAAGCTAACAAAATCAAATGCAGGAGAAACTAAAAACACTTGGGCTTTGGAAACATGCATCAATCGAGAACAAAGATACAGAACTAACAATGTAACAACTTGGTCTGAACTCCCAGGTTGATTTACTTCAAAAGTTTCAGTTCTCTTAATTCAGAGCGTTAGCAGAATGATCCTGTGCTGAAAAGTAGCTATGATATAATTTATCCTCAAAATTAACAAAAATCTGTTCACAACAAGATTTCAAAACTCAAGGTAACAAAAAAATCACCTGATCTGATCTGAAATAAAGCACTGAGATGCACAATGTTTTCTGGAATTTTTCACCAAAAAAAAAGGAAAAAGGATGATTTTTAGTAGCAAAAATGCATTAGATCAGTGTCCTACCAAAAAAGCTACTACAACCTTAAGCTGTATTTTTTCCCCCCAACACACCACAAATCAGATCTTGGGCGATGGGTAGATCTGTAAAAACTGTAAGAATTTCACTTTTTTTTTTAAAATAACAGTTGGAAATGCAAGTATTCCAGGATGTCTATTTTGAAGGCTATCCAGCACTGCTACCTTACACAACCAAGTTGCAGATAGTTTCCCCATAATCATCTCCAGTAAAATAAGCCACATGTGCAAAAACCAGATTTTGCCAAAGTTTTGTATCTTGCTGCAATGTTTAAAATATTCATGCCTGAAGCTGTCTGCTTTGCTCCTCTTCCAGGAGGTAACATTCTTACAGCAGCTTCAGAGGCGTATATATAGCATTATCTCAGTTGCTTCAGCGCAGACCTGGATTTAATCTTCATCTTAAAAGCCATGTTTATCTGCAGTGTAAGCTAACATGTCAGACTGCATTCAGTGAAATATGGTGCAGGCACATCTCTGCCAACTCTCTTTCTGTGGGCAGAAACACCTGGCAGAAGCAGAACAGACAGCTGTAGAGGTGGTGAGAAGAAACCACAGCAAAGTTCATGAAATCTCATTTACTAATGGCATCAGCCATAATCTGCAGTTTACTGCAACCCAGTGTATCGTTATATATGACAGCATAAACACTGACAGTACTGGAGAAGCAAAATGAAGAATAGATTACTGAGAAAACTGAAAAATACTAGAGATATTTACTCCATGTATGGCAAGAAGCTCATCGGCTGTTAACCTAGAGTACACTACTGAAACTTTAAAATTGTGTAAAGTCAGGGTCCTTTTTAACTTCTTACTCATATTCCAGAACATAGAGGGTAAATCTCCTGCTGAAGCACAAATTACCTCAAAGCCAAATAAAAATATTCAAATACATTTTTCTGAGTAGCAGCTCTGGTGAATTCTGGGAAAACAATAGATGGAAAGGATCTCTAAAAGCCTCACACAGACCTGGGAAACTTTTCCTGTGGCAGATGCCATCTCTTCCTTAAACATTCACTACACTTCCATTCCTTACCTCAAGATGAAAATTAAAAGCCATAGATTAAGAATCAACAAATTAAACATAGGAAGCCTAGCAAGAGGTTTTATAACTCTAGAGAGTTCCTTCCCCTGGTAAGCCTTGTGAAGTAATACTCATTGGAGAAAAGCTGTTGTAGATCATTTGAACTCCAGATAGTAAATAAGAATTTCTAGCATATAAAAAAAAGTTCAAAAATCTACAAGATCTAGACTAATTCATTTAATCTTCATATTAATTTTGATGAAATTTTATTTATTTCAACCTCTGAAACACACTTCATAACAATAAAACAGTAAACAAATTTAAGATTGAGCAGATGTATGCATTGTTAGTGGAACACAGACCACATCATTTTATTATAG